GTGGCAGCACACTGGAAAACCTTGTCAGCATGCCTTGGTCCTCATAACAACACAACAAAGTTCTGATGTTAAGATGGAAGATTTTGTTCATGATTATTACTCAGTGGAGAGGTTCAAGAACACTTATAAGTGACTGATAGAGCCACTTCCAGATAAGACCCAGTGGCCTAAAGTTGTGCTTGCCTTTGTAGTTAACGCCCCATTAGCTAAAAGACCTGCTGGAAAGCCCAGAAAACTACGAATCAAAGGATGTCTGGAGGGGAGAAGTGGTGGCATGAGCAAAAAAGATGCAAATGATGCTGCCAATCAGGCCGATAAGGATGCAGAAATGAAAGCTGAGGAAGCTGCTAAGGGAAAGAGGTACTAATTGTAGGAAAAAGGAAGTGCAAGTGGTGTGGTGAATTGGGTCATGGAGAAACTAGCTACAAGTGCAAGCTAAATGGGACAAAGAAAAGGTAGCATCTTTTATTCTTTATTTTATTTATTGATTGATTGCACCATGTTGTTTTAAATATTTTTTTACTGTTTTCCTCCCTGCAGGAAAAGGAAGCCCAGGAAAAATACTACTAAATATGGGCCAAATGCTAAAGTCCCAACAAAAAGGGCAAAGAAGCAAGATAAGGAGCCTGAAAACCCTACTGTGCAAGCTGAGAATGATATTGTGCAAGTTGAAAATGCAACTGTGCAAGCCGTGAATGATACTGCTATAGTCCCATTTGTTCCAGAAAATTCAACTGTAGTAACCAGCCCCACCAAACCGACCAATGAAACAATCTTGCAAGACAACCCAATTAGGCTGACAAGAAGGTAAAGACAGTAATGTCAGCCATCTATACTTCCTGAAAGTTGCAATGTTCAGTTACTTAATTTTGTTCCTTTTTTCAGCCGCTTGGCATTCTTGATGGGAGAAGGCACATATGGCCAACCTACCGATGGGTCGCCCAACACTACTCAAGGAACACCAAGAAAGAAGAGAACGACACCGAAGAAGTTGGTCCCAAGGAAAATAAAAAAAAATCTGAGAACCTGTGTCATTTTCATAACCTGTGTGTTTGATGAACCTGTGTCCTGTATGAGTTTGTGAACCTTTTTCATTTGAAAACATATGTGCTACCAGACTTGTGTGTTTCTCAAAATTAATTGTATGTTGTTACTACTACTGCAAATGGTAGGAGTAGAGAAGTGTTTAGTGCCATTTTGATACATTGGCACAACTGATACATTTTGATAACAAGTACACAAGATTCACCCACTCTTGACAATTGCATAAAATTGCTAACTAACACAAGTCCACAAACAAGAATCAAACATTTTAGCAACATTACTATCTCCCTAAGCTGCTTAAGTTGTTCTTCCTGGCTTGATTCTCCACAGTTCGCCTTGTTTTCGACAATTAGGACTTGCTGCGGCAACTTAGTAGACTCGAAAATAGATTGATAATCTGAAGGCACCAATTTATTGTCAACCAAGTATTGCTCATACCCCTCTTCCCACTCCCAAAATGGACAACCAGCACCTTCTCTCTGTCGCCAAATAAAGGGAAACCAATCAAATCGACTCAGTCATCAAATCACACAAAATACATCACATAAAATTTACAGTTAACTGTTCTCACCGTTCGAGTTGGACAAATGTAGAACTGGTGGCCGTAGTTCTTGTCCGTCTTCGCTGTCAAGACCTTGAGAAACCGGCACTTACAATACTCGTAATGAACAAGAGGGAGTTCATTGTTTGAAATCCTTCGGCTTCGAGGTACTGAGTACCTGCTGTTCTCCATGGCCGACCTTGGAGGCGTCGCTGCCATGCTATACTCCATGGCCGGCGTGGGGAGGCGGGGCGGCGGGAGGCGCCTGGGCGTGGGGGTGTTGGGTGGGCTCATTGTGGGGGCGCTTCGCCGTGGGGGGGCGGGGTCTTGGGGTGTGGGGGTGGGGCGTTGGGCGCCACCGTGGGTGGTAGTGGGTGCTCGTCTTGGGCGGGAGGTGGGGGCTTGCCATGGATGGGGGGGGTGCTCATGGTGGGAGTGCTCGCTCGGTGCTTTCGGAGAAGCAAAGAATAACAAGATGCTCGCCATGGGTGGGGGTGCTCGGCGCTTGGGGTGTGGGGGGCTCGCCGTGGGTGGGGGGGGGGTGTTCGCCGTGGGGGGGCTCGCTCGGTGCTCGGAGAAGCAGCAGCAGCCAAGCTCGATCCGTTTCTGCGCCCCTCCGTTCCGTCCGTGCGAGCACTGGTGAAAGAAAGAGGAAAGGGACAAGGCAGAAGAGGAAGAAAAGGGTCCCAAAGTCATCGGATGACATTCTCGCGGATGGATCGCGTTTGGTAATGGCTAGGTGGCGAAGCCCCATTGTAGGATGACAAATCACCGAAGCCCACTTTCCATAATGGTTGAATTCAAAAAGCCCGTAGTATGATGTAACTGTTTTGGCTGTTTGCATGCTTTTTGTGCAACCCAGTTTTTTCAGAATGGCATGCGCCGCGCACCCCCTATCTTGCGTCTGTTATTTCATCAGGATTCGTGCTGATCAAAGTGCGGAGTAAGCCCATCTCTTTCCAGGATTGGATTCCCATACTCCAGCTGGCGCGTTCGATTCCGTGGTAGCTTGCCTCTATGCTCTTTCTCCATTCGTTGCTTCATTGAGTTCATTCCCTTCTGTCGAATCCATTGCTTTGATTCCTACTAATATGAGGACTCTCTTCATCCTTCTCTCTCGCCCTCCTGGTCCGCCTCTCAATACCTTCTCTCTTGCTATCAAGATCTCGTTGTTGTCCGACATCCCTCTCCCTCTCTCAACCTCCCTAAGATCCGAATCTCGCCTTCTCCCAATACCATGGATGAAGAAGATAATGCTGTACCTGAAGATGCTGTTGGTCGACCCAGACCTTCGCCTGCAACCCTAGTCTTTTCCGATCGCGCGGTCGGCAAGGAAAACAATGGCTCATCAGTAACCACAGTGCCTCGTACTGTCAAATTTTTAGGTAAAATTAGTTGTTCTATATATGTTGCACATCTGCTACATTTGTACCTCTAAGATCTAATGCATTTAGTTCTCCTACGTGAGTTTCCCATTTTTTGTTCGTGGGTTTAGTGTCTTACATATTTTTTTGCTAGTGCTTTTAAGCAGTTCACTTATTTAATATAAGACAGTTTTTAAAAAATTCTTATTTTTTTGAAAGATCTTTAAAAATTCTTATACTGAGGCATTTGTTCAGTATTAATGTTAATTTTATACTAAAAATACATTATCTAGATTTTAGCTCTGTTTTTTTTTTGCATCTGAATGCTGCTTTTGTAGGGTAGAACTGTTCATTTAGTTCTAATGAATTTATTTATTCAGCGTGAATTTGGATTTGTTATTTTCTTTAAACTGATATTGCTGTCAGGTAGTTCGCATATGTAACATCTCAATGATTTTATAATAGTGTTGGACTGCCTCAAATGTCCAGTATTGTTGTAGATTTTAGAGTGAGACTTTTACAAGTAAATTAGTTGTTCTAGGTTGTAGATTGGTGGATAAGTTTATAAAATACTTGTGGCGGATGATGTGTCATGGGACCCGATTTCTTCTTCTACAACGCTAGCTTTTAGATATTATGGCTGGATCTTTTAATTAGTTTTTAGATATGGATCTTGCCTTTTCCAGTTCTTATGGCTGGTTCTTTTAATTAGTTTTTATAGATATGTATATAATTTATGTTATTTAATGTGATTTATTGATGTACAGAGTGTAATTTTAGTTGATATGTATGATTCTTTTTTTAGATATGCACTTATGGCTCTTAGATGTACCCTCCAGGTATTGGCAATTTTTAATTATATTTTTAGGCATGGTCTTATTTTATTCATGTTGCATCAGCTTTTTAAAGGCTGCTTTTATAAAGTTCATAATTTGGCAATCTGACTAACTGTATGGATTATTAAATACTCCTACCTTTTAATTTATTTTAACTCCATATTTTTATATGGTTTGTTGCCCCATACAATTTTGGAAAAATAAGATAGTAACAGTAAGGCTATAAGTACACTGCTTTAACTGCAATTCCAATAGTGGTCATAAAAAAACGTTGACTAAAGTACATATAGAACTTTAAAAAATGGTGCGTTGTTTACAATTCTTTTTGGCATTGTCATATTCCATTAAACAACTTCACATATGAGTTTTCTAGTTTGTATATGAGGTACTAAGGCTAGTCCTTTTGATTAGTTTTAGTTCTCTTCTATCATCCACCTTATTTTAGATCTGGCGCATGGTTCTATTGAGTAATTTTTAGATTTTTTATTTAGTTTTGTAGTTCAATAGTAATAGCTGCTTTTATTTGTTGGATATCTTTTTCTTTTGTTCTCACTGATTCTTTAAAATAATTGAATTTACTTATAATATTCAAACTTCAATCCAGATTTGAGATCTCCGAATTTGGCTAATGCATTTGATTACCTTTATTACTTTTCATGAATCTGGAGCATGCTTTTAGTTCTTACGGCTAGTTCTTGTGATTAGTTTTTAGATCTGTTCTATACAATGTTTTAAATCTCCCGCTATAGCTGCCGCTATAGCCTTTTAAGGCAGGATGTCGCTATTTGTGTTATATGTACAATTTAGTCGCTATATCCCGTTATAGCCCGATTTAGCTCCGCTATTAGCTGATTTAGACGTATACTGATAAACACCTTAGCCCGCTGTTTAAAACTATGGTTCTATAGTTTTGGCATTTCTATTTTTGTACTTAAATATGCGTACATTTTTCTTGTGAATCATTTAAAAGAATATTAGTTATTTTTTTCTTCAAATCAGTTTTATTATATACTACTGGAAATGCATTGGCCTCCTATTGGTTTGTTCTCCATGCTAGATTTTATAACAATCATAATTGTGGTAAATAATGAGGCAATTGGATCATTCCAGGAGCTTATGAGGAACGCCTGCATTGGAGTATGAATCAAGTGAGGAAGATGGATTTTATTCTTAAGATTCTTAAACAAAAGGTTATTTTTGGACAAGGGTGGTCAGTTATGGTAACTCAGCATTGAACAAGGGTGTTTTTCTCCTTAAAGTTCTTAATCTGTTGATGTATTTTTGATTTGTTCCTTTTTTCCATTTTTCTGATCGACCGAAATGGAGAAGAACATGTACATCCAGTTTCAATTTGACAAATCCATGTATTGTGGTAGTTTCAGCCTGGCTATTTTAATATCCGTTGTGGGTTTATTTGTTATTTGCCTCTTGAAACTTGAATGCTTAGAAAGTTTGTGTTATTGCCCATTAAGACATTTGTTGAGCTTACTGACTCCAATGATAAATTTAAGGTCTGCAGAATCTTTATATTAGCTAATACTTTTATATATGCATTGTGACTCCAATGATAAATTTAAGGTCTGCATTGGGATATATTAGTTTCCCCAAAACAGGAAGTACATGTAATCATATGATCTCCTATTAATATGTACTACCTTTTTTTTAGAATATTCACAGCTTCGATTTTGTAAAATAAAACACGAGCTGAGAGTTTATCTTCTCTTGTCTTGGTTCTGGTACTATCATTACCCTTCTTCTCATCTGGAGTCTTGGTGAAATTTGGAGCTTGAGCATAAGGTGTCCTTGACTGCTCTTGAGAAGTCTTTTTGGGATATAATCCCAATTCACTCTTCCTTGGAACAAGGTCTTGAATTGCTTCTTCCTGCAAGAGTGCCAAGGAACTAGCAGCATCCAGATCTTGAGGTCTATGAACCATAATAACAACCCTAATTTCCTTTTTTAAACCATCAACAAATCTATTGGTGATAACAGAAGGGGCTAAAGTGGAATCATGGGCAAGGAGCTGTTGGACAATCTCACTGAATTGTTCTATGTACTCAGAAACAGTAGCAGTTTGTTTGACGTGGAAAAAATGTCTAAGCAAATGATTATGCTCATCCTTATCAAACCTATTGGACACAGCTAGAACAAAGGCATCCCACTTCATAGCAATGATAGAAGCACGACTAGACTGAAACCAAAGTGCAGCAGACCCTACTAAGTTCATGGTACCTATCTTAACTCAGAGGTGATGATGGGTAGCATACACATCGAAGTAAGTTTCACACTGGGTCACCCACAACCTAGGATTTGAACCATCGAAATTGGGGAAACTAAATTGGGGAATAGCTGAAGCAGGGAATGGCTGACAAACATGATCACGAGATGCAGAACCATCGAAATTGAAAGGAGTTGGAGTCAATTGATGGAGATTCTTCGCACTTGTGACCGGAGGCGGATCTAGGGTGGCGTACACCATCCCATGTCCGACACTTCGGTGATGATCCTCTTGCCGGTGGCCACATGGCCCAGATGTCGCCCTGCACGGGGTCTGTTCCAGATGAGCGAAACCCGACATCAACATATTCCCGGCCGTTGTGTGGTCTGGCGCGGGATGCTCGATGTGCTCCTCCTTCTTAGGAGAGGTATTGCCGGCCCAGAGAAGCTCGACGTAGTTTCCGAGGTCGTGAACGGCTTGCTCCAATCCGGCGACGCGATGGTCCACTGTTGGCCTCCACGCATCCAGATCGGCCTTCGCCACCTTCATCTAGCTCATGGACTCCTTCAGCTCCGCGATCCCCTTCTGGTTCGCGTTCAGCAAGGCCAGGATCTGCCCGTATTGCTCTTCGGGAGTCACCATGGATTGGAATCGGGTGTGGTATTGGTGGTGGGTTTGGTGGTGAGCCAGTTTGATGGTTCTGATACCAGATATCACCGGACTACTATACTACTTATATATCGAATTTGGTAACTGGTGGATACAAGGACTCAAGTCGCCGACGATCGCCGCCGCCGCCGTCACCTTTAGGTGCGGTTCAGAGTAGTGTCCAAGTTCGAGTTCCCCTCTCGTTCCTTGCCGTTACGAGAAGGAGCCAGGAGGCTGCCTCCGACATGGGCCACACAGGGCCTGGGGTTTACTTGGCCCATTCCGGTCCAGAGATCTTCAGGTTCGGCTTCCTGGGCCGTGCTGCTCTCCCATGGGCCGCTTCCGCTTCATCTGATGTCGACGCCTTCTCCTGCGCAGCTTCTTTCTTCAGTCTTCCTCCAACAGCTTCGGCTTCGTCAGTGTTGGCAGCAGCCGGAGTTGCAGCTGTGGTACCGGCGGCTTTAGAGGTGTCGCGGTGACACCTGGGTCCTCTTTCAGTCTTGGTTCCCTGATTTTTTGAAAGCGTGCAATAGCTCGTGCTTCATTAAGTGGAAGTGGAACATTACAAATCCGTAGTCTAAGTCACGGCGAGCTGCCGTTCCTGACTAAGGAGCACACAGGACACAAGGCACCGCGTAGCGGTGGGAACACAAGGTTGTACTAAGTAAAGAACAAGTTTTGCGACGCAGAGTGAAAGGTTCCCTTGGGTGCTCAGCCAGCCTGAGTGGTGAGCGACGTGAGACCGCTGAACCCAGCGTCGATCCAGGAGCTGGCCTCAACCGAGATGAAGTCGACGAGCTGTGAGGGTGTCCTGGACGAACGATCAAAGGTGCGCTGGTTCCGTTCCTTTCACAAACACCAAGAGGTTAGGATGACAAACGAGTCGAAGCAGTGCCTGAGGCATTGTGGCAGCACCGTCCTTCCCTAGAGCCACCATTCAAGCAGTGCCGAGTTGGTTTGTTGCGCGACACCGCCCAAGCCCGATGGCTGAAGCAGGCGGTACCAGACCTCATGGGCGAAGACACAAGAGCATAGGAGATGGTTGTTAGGATCTGGATTAGTACCTCTGTGTGACCCGTAGATCCGGGTAGACTCCTCGCCTTCTCAGTAGATGCACCGCAGCCGGTGCCGCGGTGTAGAAGACGTCCAGCGCCAGCAAGATGAGGTCCAGTGACGCCGGCTGGTGACCTATAGGGGAGACGGCGGAGTCGGTGGGCCATCCCGTCGCTGGCAGCACGTCTTTAGATCGGATTAGGGTTTTCTTTGGTGGGTGTGGCGGCTCCGGCGAACCTCGTTGTTCGAGCCCTCACCCCCACCTTCCTTTTATGTGTGCTGTGCAACAGGGGCCCACCAACCGGATTAGGGTTGGGCTCCCCCGATCAGGGAGCAGAGATAAGGGCCCAATAGGCCGTTGGGCCTATTGGTGGAGATCAACTAACATTCTCCCCCTTGATCTCATTCCATCTTTCACTTTCATATCATTTACTTTTGTTCATTCCATTACAGATTAGCTCATAGAGCATGTCTCATCGTCACGGTCCATTGCCGATAGACTTAACAGCTACAACTCACTACTCTGTTCTGAAATAGATACTTATCTTTGGGCCTTCTTTTGTCCAGGAATATTTTAGGCTTTCCCTTAAACCCAAGCTAGCTACATGTTCTCTGAACACCATGTCCTCTGAACATGTTGGGTGGTAAGCCTTTTGTAAGAGGATCCGCGAGCATCCTTTCTGTTCTTATATGCTCAAGACTTATGACTTGATCCCGAACTTTATCTTTCACAACATAATACTCTATGTCAATGTGTTTGGCAGCACCACTTGACTTATGTTGTGAGCATCCTATACTGCCAGATTATAATCGCAGTATTACTTTAGTGGTCTATAGATGTCGTCAACCACCTTCAAACTGGGTATGAACTTCGTTAGTTAGTTCACCTGCCCATTGCCTCATAACACGCTATGAACTGTCATACATTGTGGACGATGTAGTGACAGTTTGCTTTGAGCTTTTCCATGAAATAGCTCCCCTTTACGAGATGATAGAAAATCCACGTCTGGATATGCATTCACTCTCGCATAATCAGAATCTGAATATCCCACCATGTGGAGTGAATCAGATCTTCTATATGTCATCATGAGGCCTTTCGTTCCTTGCAAATAATGCAAGACTTTCTTTACTAATTTCAGTGTTCTATTCCAGAATTGCTCTGGAATCTGCCAAGTAAAACCCGGTAACAAATGCCAAGTCAGGGCGTGTACATACTTGAGCATGTTGCAAGCTTCCGATAGCTGAAGCATATGGAACCACTTTCACTTTATCAATTGAGCTCATATTGGTTCCTGGGGCATTGAAAATCCCCATATCTGTCGCCCTTGACTATAGGAGCAGGTGAGGGACTACATCTGTGCATACTGAATTTCTTTAAGATCTTTTTCATGTATGCCTTTTGTGACAGTCATTATACCCTTTTCTTCTATCTCGGTGAATCTCGATCCCTAGAACGAACGAGGCTTCCTCAAGATCTTTCATATCAAGTTTTGAGAACAAAACTTCTTTGTCTCCTGTAGTAGACTGACATCACTACTAGCAAGTAAGATATCATTTACATACAGGATAAGGAAGATAAACTTCCCAATCTTAAACTTTGCATAGACACAATTGTCCTCTACATTCTCTTTAAAACCCAAAATTCTTTATTGACCGATCAAACTTTAAGTACCACTGTCTTGAAGCTTGCTTTAATCCATAAATGGATTTCTTTAGGCGGTATCCCATTCGTTCTTTTCCTTCCATGACAAAACCTTTCGGTTGTGCCATGTAAACATTTTCCTCCAAGTCTCTATTGAGAAATGCCGTCTTTACATCCATATGATGTAATTCTTAATCGTAATGTGCCACTAATGCCATTATGATTCTGAAGGAAACTTTACATGAGACTGGAGAAAAGGTCTCATTGTAATCAATCCCTTCTCTTTGCATAAAGCCTTTTGCCACAAGTCACACTTTATATGTCTCTATATTCCCTTGAGAGTCATGTTTAGTCTTGTAGGCCCATTTATAGCCTACTGTTTTGACTCTTTTAGGAATTATTTCCAAGTCCCAAACTTTATTAGCATTCAATGATTTCATTTCATCTTCCATGGCCTCAAGCCACTTTGATGACTGATCACTACTCATGGCTTCTTTAAACGAGGCGGGATCATCCTTCATTTGAAATTCTTTAGTGTTGTACACTTCATAATCAGCAGGAATAGCTGATTTTCTAACTCTTTTGAGACCTACTAGGGGCCTTCACATTCGGCACATCTTCTATTTTGAGGCTGTTGTTGCTCCCCCTCATGTGTGGCAATAGGTTCTATAGAATCCTGAAGAACAGGTTCCTCATCGTCATTCATTGTTGCCACAGGTGGGATAACAACAGGTGCTAGCACCATAGTATCTAGCACTGTCGGTGCAGCTACAACAGGTAGTGAGAAAAATGGCCCATGAATCATTGGAGTGGGCGCATACACCCGCTTCACTTCAAGGACAATTTCTCGAGCTACCATGCTCCCCCTCATCTTTTCATCTTCTAGGAAAACAGCGTGTCTCGTTTCCATAAACTTTGTATGTCTCTCTGGACAGTGGAAAACGAAAACCTTTTAACTTTTCTGTGTTGCCAATGAAATGGCACCTTACTATTTTGGAATCTAACTTCCTAATGTTTGGGTTAAATACTTTAGCCTCAGCAGGGCTCCCCCCCACACACGCAAGTGGTTTAGTGAGGGTACACTTTCTGTCCACGACTCATACGGTGTTTTGGGCACCGATTTACTTGTTACTCTTTTGAGAATATGAATGAGGTTTTTAACGTCTCCATCCACAGGCTCAACTGTAAGGTGGAGTAACTTATCATACTGCCCACCATATCCATCAGGGTACGATTGATTCTTTTAGCTACTCTATTCTGCTGAGGTTTGTCCAGTATAGAATACTAGGCTACTATGCCATTCTTTTAGGGTATGCTGACCGTAGTACTCCTCCACGGTTAGACCTGACTATCTTAATCTTTAATATCTTGAATTTATCCAGTACATCTTTTCTTTCTTTGATTGGATAAATATAGCCATAATGGGAGTACTCATATGTGAATGTTATGAACGAATCATTACCATCCACACTTTTTACAGGAAACTGACCATAGATGTCTGTGTGAATAATCTATAAGATTCCTGTGCTTCGTTTATCATCTTTCTTAATCTTCTTTATATACTTTTCTTATACTTTTCTTTTATGCATTCTCTGCATTGAACTTAATCTGAGAGCTCTAATGGAGGTAGAATATCATTCTTAACTTGTCTTTCTATTCTCTCCCTCGAAATATGGCCTAAACGACAGTGCCATAATTTTGACAATGCATCGTGAGCTCTCTTATGCCACCATTTCCAGAGTAACACTCTGTGACCAGCTTTATCAGCTAAGTGGCATATGTCTTTGAAGAGCCAGTGAACTGCTCTTTATTCTATCGAGGTACTCGGTGACCGTGCCACATTCTAGGATTGAGCCCATAATTGCAGGTTCAATCATGTTCTTTATCACAGCCAAACATTTCTCGTTGGCAGTGACCCACTGCCTATGCTCAAAAGTCATAGGACATCGTTTGGGATTTAAAATCCCTTTCTTTAGTTGCCCAAGTGGCATCAATCTCATTTGTCTCCCTAACCGGTGCCACAAACTCAGTGGAACACGGTGAGGTGACTACCCAGTCCACCTTAGACAAGATGAAAAACCAGGTCAGAACTTTTCTTAATCATAAAAATAACATCATTTGCATGCCTTGATTCCAACGTTGGTTAAAATCAAAACATACAATTATTCTTATACACTAATTCTACATCACCGTTAGGCAGAAATAG